AAGAACATAGTCTTTAAGAACACATAGGCTATATTGGAGGTCATAAGCAGCATATCGCCATCTCTGCGGAACGCGCAAGAATGTGTGACAGAGAAAATCACCTCTCACTCACTCTCATTGTAATTAGCTATTAATTAGTGTCTCTTCCGGATTGGTCGAAAAACTTAATTTTTAATTGGTGTACATATTTTAGCCAGTAAGCACGTAGCACATAATTTGTATAAATAGTTAAGAAATTAGAAAATAAATCATTACAAATCTGGACTCCGAGTGTTATTCTTCCCGCAACTATCGACAGCAGTGAAGACCTCCCACAGCTACTTATTATTTTTTATTCTGTGCAAACGGAGTCGCAGGCAAAAGCTAGTTTATGATTACAAAAATTACCTATTTTAAATGCCTCTTCCCGTATCTCATGTAAGACTTTTACCCTTGTAACATTCTGCAGTAAAGCCTGCACATTACTTTCTATATAAGTCTTCACCCAAACACTCCATTTTTGCACTGATTTTGATATATCGACTTTATCAACGGCTCTCACTTCTTTCTGGGTTGATAACCTGCAATTAGTAATTAATTCTATGATATTAAATAAAATATTAAAAATGAATAATGAACTAAAATATATTATTAAAAGGAGTCTCTTTAGGCAAAGTTCCGAAGATACTGGCAGCGTTGCCCCTTTGAATAGCTATACTAATTCTTTGTCCGAGGTAGCTGCCAGCTCTTCGGTCCCCTGTGATGTCGATTAACTTTTTTGATATTTTATTTACAATTGAATTTGAATCTTATTGATATATAATAAATTATATTTTGCATTATTTACTTCAAACTATTTTTTTTTTACTAAAAATATATATTTTTTGTAAAGTAATTATAGTCTACATTATTATAGATATGTTTTTTTTTATATCATAAGGTGGCAAACGAGCGAGCGGCCACGTAAAATTGCTGAAATAGCAAAGTGACCGTTGCCCATAGACTTACGCAATTGCATATGCGTTGCCCACCTTTAATAGACGGAGGAGAGGATGTACAGAAATAATATATATTCCCTTCCCATGCATCCTCTCATCCGGAAAGTCCACTTCCACTTCCCATCCTTTCCTTATAAGAAAAAGGATGTGAAGGGAAAGAGACGCACACTCATCAGACTGTACGCGGAATTGACGCCTGTCTTCTGTGTGGTTGTGGTATTTCACCGGGCCAGCTCGTGCGAAGATGTTAAAGCGGGCTCTACCACTGTTAAAAACAACTTATTATATATAAATTGTATGTAGTAAATAAGAAAAGAGAATATTAAATGATATTTCTTACTTGTAATTTGATATAACGGAAGGCAATAAGTTCAATGATGCTGTGTCACTGAATTCTATCAAATCTAGTAGAGGTTTAGAATCTCTTTTATATAAATCCTTTAACATATCCAATACTGCTCCACCATCATTATCTAAAATAAAATAAGTATTATATATTTATTAGGCATTCTTCTCAAAATATACAGAAAAAACTAGATATGCGAGAGTCCAAGGGACGGCGATATATTTCTCGCTTATAGAGGTTTCTAACCAGAGTTTCTCGCTTATGAAGGTCATCCGTGGGGACCGGACAATGACTCTCGTTTATAGAAGTTCCTTGTTTATGCATTTCTCATTTAATATGTATAATAATTTCAAAGAAATGTCACTTAATACATAATATTTTAACTTAAAATACTAACCTACAAAACAAGCATACACTAAAACAACAGTTTTCAACACAATTTTCACTCCGTTTACAATTTTCTTTTTTATCTGTGCCTTGACATCTCCTTCTAAAATATGAGTCAGATCAAACTGTAGGGTAGACCGCAAACTGCTATCACTATGTAAGCCAATAAGTGTATTCAGAAGTTCCACCATAGTCTGAGAGTCCAGGAGGTAAAGACTTACTAGACAAGAACTGGCCACCTGTAAGAGGAATTAACACATTCAACGCTATACATGGCAAGATCACTTATGCAAAAAAAGTAGCGGCATTGTATGGGTTATTTGTTAGAATAAGGGTTTCAACTTTCTAAAAACTTGTTCACAAACATCTTGTCAGCTCGGAATATTGCACAAGTTGCTGTGCAGAAAACAATTTTAAGTGTAAAGAGATACAGGGGGAAGGCACTGCATAGCGCATAGATGAACTTGAGCAGTCAAGATATTTGAAAAGAGCTATACAATAGCTGTTTTAGAAATAACCTATGTATATTTACCGAAACAGTAATCTCAACATCCTGCAATTTCTTCCTGCACTCATTGATAATTGTTTGACTGAAGTTAGAGATTGATATCCATTGTTGCTGCACAATTCTCTGCAACGATTGCATTCCGGGCTTGGCGTTTCTACCTCCAATTTGAAGCTGCAACCCTGTGAATTCAAAAAACTTAAATAAAATAATTTATTTCAATCCTTATTCTTGTTATAAACAATTTTAACAATGCTTATTTGTTCTGTAGTGGATTAATTATATCCTCACTGAGGAACTCGGAGCCTTCTTTAAGTTAGGGTTGACTGGGCCATAGTTAACCATGCTGGTCCAGTGCGGGTTGACTTCACATCATTGAATTTCTTGTCAGATATGTGTAAGTAAGAATATTGAATGTACATATGTAAATCAAAAAACACATTACTAAATAGCGGGATATGAACCCAGGTCGTGCAGATTACAAGTGCTTAACTCCTAAGCTACCGATACTCTTGTTAAGGCTATCATTTAAATATTGAACTTTTTAGAATGAAAATATGGAGAATATTACCCGTGTTGATATGTCGCGCCAAAATAAATAATTGTGAAGCCTTTACAAAATCATCTTTCTCTATACACTTCCATATCTTTTCAGGTATTTCCATTAACAATTTCACTTGAATGGCTATAACTTGTGCGGGGTTTGAATTTAATTGAAAACTAGAATAAAAGTGGAATAGATTATCTTGATGTTCACATTCCTAATTTAAAAGATAAAATACCTCTGAAGAATTAACAGCCATATGATTTAGAATACAATTATCAAATTTTGGGTTTGAAATCCACCAATCAATTATTGCCCTTTTTTTCCAGAGAGGAATGCTTTATGCATACTCTGCGCCCCGGGGAGGACGCAATAGTTATGTGGGATTCTCCTCTATAGCGGAGGCATACCCACTAAACCTCTCTGTTCCTCCAATGCATCAGGACGGGACCACAAGCATGCTTTCACTCTCATCCGCGGCCAATCAATTATTGCCCTGACTTAATCAGAATAGTTACAAGAAATATTAGGATCTGAGAAGTTCTTTTTCAGATCTGAGGAGATCTGAACAATCACTAAACATAACCTGACAAAAGGGGGTGTAAAGAAAGATGTTAGCTGTACCTTGGTTTTTGAGGTTGTTCTTGTACTTTGAAGCCAACTAAATGTGTATCATGCAGATTTTTGCATGCTACCATCATCTGATTTATATGATCTAAAGTGCTACTTGTTGTCAACTTCATTTCTTCTATTATGTCCGCAGCTTGTATTAAATCTCGATATCTTTCTCTGGAAAACGAAAAGAGGAATGTTTATGTATATGTGATGACATATAATGAACAATCAGTGGACATATTATACTAAGTATATTTTTTTGAGACGACTTTGTACTTTTTACGGTAGAAATTAAATGAAAGAAATTGTGTCTATTGGGAAGTCTTATTCTTGGTGCAATCGTGAAATTATTAAAACAATAATAAATCGGTTGTCTTAGTAACATTTTAATTTATATGAAGAAAACTATGGAGTAAATTAAATATCTTAATAACTTACCCTACCATCGCCCTTAATTCTTCTCTTTTTCGCTCGATTTCATATTGCAACTTCTTCTGTACATGGTCTATTTCCGTAATAGAATGTGTTTGGAATAACTCTTCCGGCACAATATCTAGCAAATTTGGTTGAGACATCATAGAAACCTTTTAAGGCATTTAATTCAACTTTGTTAGAATAAAAATTAAGATTCAAAAACAAAGTCTACAAGAATTAAAGACGTCAACAAACTTTACGTCAAAGTAAGCGTCTTAATCAAATTGACATTTGGCGTTACAGTTTAGAAATAGTGAAAGAAAATTAATTATTATGCGAATGAAAATTCTCCTTGCCAAAATTGCCATACGGGAAAAAATGAAAAGTGAAAGCTTTTTCCAATTTCATATTTAACGCAAACTGTGCTTCATTACTCTTCCATTTTTATGAACGACCAGCGCCGATTAAGGCCATTTTTTACACATTTAAAGGAAGGGATTTTAAGAAAGGGAGCATGAAATAACCAAATTCAAGTTAGTAAATAAAATTGTTTTCATTTTCTTATTATTCATATAAAAAATATACAATAACACTAAAATTATCCATGTTTAACATTGCAACATTGATCTTCTTGTTACAATAAACTTTATATAGACCATTCGACTACAAAGTTGACTATAAAACTTAGGATCAGAAACAGGCACCAACTTACAAACTCAAGCTCTTTTTTTATTTTTTACTGAAGAATATAGCAAAGAGAGAATGTAATAAAAACTTGTTTTCGCATGTAACATATTTAGTTTAACGCTATTTTTGTTTGCAAAAAAATTGAGCCTGGATTTGATTTTTGTTGCATTATAAAAAAAGAAAAACTAGTGAATTCAACTTTAATAAAATAAAGTTTAACGGTCAACTTTGCATCGGATATATTTATGGTATGACAGATTAAATGTTTATCAAATTAATAAAACGAGACAAAAACAATTTCGTTGTAAATAACAACTATACAAATAAAAAAAACTAAACAGATAATAAATTATTATCTACTCAATTTGACATAAAAAAAATCAATAAGTTCGACAAATTGATATGTTTTCTTCAATTACAAAATATTTTCATATAAAACTTTTATGCTCATTTAACTTTAATTATTTCATTATTACATATATTTACAATAAAAAAGCTACATTTATCTTATTAATTCTTTTTAGCATGAGATTTTATACCAACATCAATAAAAATTTTAAACCAAAATTGTTGAATACTTTTGATAAAAAATGCTCAAATGATCTAAATAAAGACAAAGTTGATAAAATCTTTTATAGTTGTGATGTTTAATATAGGACTGAAATAAACAAAATTTCAAAACTAAATAAAAATATCTGTTAAATTATTCAAACTTTCGTGAGACATTGTACTAAACTGATATATAAACACGGCTAAACACTCACGTATATACGTGACCGTAGATACGTGGGTGTGGGTGGCACCACCGGACGTATATACGTGAGTGTTTAGCTGTGTTTATATATCAGTTTAAAAATATCTGTATTTAGAGTAGTTAAGTCACATATGATATAAAAATGGGTGTTTCCCGCTGGGCCTGATAGGAAAAAAATCCCATTGACCCGATCAATTGGTGGGCAACCTCAACAGAAATAACCCTACAAAAATCTTATATTATTCAATTAAATAAAATCTCACGCTAAAATGGAATATATAATATACAACAGTTTAATCTGCCACACCTTACATCACACTGCACTGGACCGCGATATCAACACTAACACTATGCCTTAGTACATCACTTCGTACACTGTCGCCTTCTTGTCACCAGAACCTGTCACTATGAACTTATCGTCCGATGATATATCACAACTGAGCACCGATGATGACTCTTTCGACTGGAAAACAAGAAAAAAAGTATTTTCATATAAAATTAAGACTGGTTGATACACATAACTTTATATTTTTAATTCTGATTCCATCTTAATTTGTAGCATCTGTGTTCTTCCAGACTGTGTTCTACATTTATGACAAATTTCAGCAAGATCCATGCAGCCGTTCTGGAAATACCTTCAAACAAACATCCATCCATTCAAACATTCACATTTATTAGTATTAATTGTTTAACTTGTTCATATCACAAAAGTAAACCTTTTAGTTAAATTATCTTAAAGTTTACCTTGTGAACTACAACAATGTAAAAATCTATTTTTTTCCTGCTTTGATATAATCTAAAGAAAGGCAAACATTTTCTAAAACAAGGTACATCAAAGTGTAAATGTACAACGTACCTGGAATATACTAGCTCCGTATGGCGTCCGCCACGCGTTTAGCAAGTTGTCTTTACCAGTAGAGACGAACCAGCTACCAGCTGCTGCGAACTTGAGCGCTAGCACACAGCTCTCGTGCAACAACAGCTGATAGCGGTCTGGTTTACCGCAGTGTAACACTTCCACTTGAGAGTTCTCCATACCTACTGCTAACCATGAACCTGGGAATAAATTAAATTGCACCAATTATTTATAAACTTTAATTAGGTAGGAAGAAAAAGAAAAAATTCTGTATATTAAAAATGAAGGGTCTCTAATATTGTTATGTGAAAAAATGTGTTTTTTTAACAAAAGGTGGCAAAGGTGTACCCGGCTACTTGAATACACTAAAATAATTAAGTGACCGTTGCTTCTAGACATTTGCATTTGCAGATGCGTTGCATACCTTTAGACGACCGGGAAGGGAACATACGTACAGGAAATTTCCCTTTTATACATTTTCTTTTTATGAGAAACATTTAGGAATTCACAAGTTTTGGTGTGATGTGTTTATGATTAATGATTAGGATCGTAGGTCAGGATACCTGTGGGGCAATATCCTAAGGAGAATATCTGGCTATTGAAGTCGTGCTGGTGCAACTGGCGGCCCTCGCGCAGATCCCAGGAGCGCACCGTGCTGTCCAGCCCGCCAGTCCACAGCCGCGACCCGTCAGCACTCATGTCGATACAGGACGCGCCGTCAGTGTGACCTACACACATTCTTCTATGTAGACTGTTCTAACTCATTATGTTAACATTTTAATAAAAGTTAAATTTATTAGTGATCAACAAAGAGATGGTTTATCATTAAAGTGACATTTATAATAATGTAATTTGTCACTTACCTTGAAATTGTCTAACTAATGTTTGATTATGAAGATCCCAAACAGCGATATGACCATCTGAACAGCAACTAAAGCACACCTGCCAAATAACATTACAATAAATACACCGATTTCAAATAATTCAGAATAGATGCTGTTAGAAGAGTAGATAAATTATATATGGTAGAGCACCTCACGTATAAAAAGACGAATAAATCAAAATACTTTAAAGTCCAAGAAGGAACTTGTGGCTTGCTAGTGAGCCATTGTAATTTATAGATTGCCAAATTATCTAACCCAGTGGGTGACATTTTTTACATTAGCTTGGGGGGCGCTAGTGAGCTGATATAATTTAGTTTGTCGGCCTGTAGTTTCCAACTGGTCAAATTTGTGTTGTTGATGTTGAGATTACCTTGGAGTCAGGACTGATGGCGAGGGCATAGCATGCCGGTGCGGAGGATGTGAGCTCTGCGCGCATGCGGGGTGTGGGCGAGGCGAGGTCCCATATGGACAGATTGGACGCCTCACCGCCCACGATCAGCGTGCGACCGTCAGGCAGCAATTTTACCGATCTGATGTAGTTGTCGCGTTGCTGTAACAGTAAGTTGACACAGTTTTAAATAAAGATATTTTAGAAACAAATTATAAAATATGGTAATAAGTAAATTCACGTTTGCTTTGAAAATATTATACAATTAAAAAAATATATATTACGAAATATGGTGATATAAAAAAACTGGTTTCTGTTAAATATTTTTATCTTTTCAATAATTATAATATACAAATTGAAATAGTAATATCGTCCCAAAATTGATCTACGGCCAACATTATGTAAATACTTACCAAACAATCCAACTGTGCCAATGGTTCGACGACAGCGCCAGGTTCGGTGATATCCCATAGTTTGACACATCCCTTGCCGCCGGTGTAGGCACGTCGCGAGCCCGAGGTGAGCGACAACGCCACCGCGCACACCACCTCACCGTGCGGCAACGCGGCGGCGGCGCGTGCTCCACGCGGCACGCCGGGGGACGAGAGCGCGTCTGCGGGGAACGGCACCGGCTGTGGGGGACCTCCGCATGTGTGGTACGAATATGCACTGAAAATGTAAACATTATTATCATTTGTACGGTCTACTGTATAAAATAAATTGACGTATTTTTTTAAGATATGTCATAATATAATATAGACTATAGACAATTTTTTTTATTTTTAATCTTTATTAGTTCGTACAAAATTCTTTATGATGTAAGCTGTCGTCCGTAAGTCAAAGCGCGAAAAAAAAATGTAATTACTAGTCTGTGTTCTTCCAGGCTACATTAATGCCGAATTTCAGCGAGATGCATGTAGCCGTTCTGGATATACCTTCAAACAAAGATCTATCCATCCATTCAAACATGCGAATTTACAATATTAGTAAGTACAGCTACAACGTATTGTTTGCCAATTGGATAAGAACTTATAATAATTGAGATTATGCTTTGAATATCTTCAAACATAATTTTTTATATAATTAATTTATTACAGTTAAATGAAATGATTATTAGTCAGTAAACTAACGGTTTAGCTGGGGGCATGCCGTTGGTGCGTGCGTGTGCGCCGTCATACGGCAGGGGGGCGCGGTAGGCGGCGTACGCGGGGAACGCGTACCGCCCTGTGGGTGTGGGCGCACGACCCTTCGCGCCCGGAGTACCCGGCTTCTCCTGTACAAATGTATTACCCTGGATTTTCTCATCAAAACATACATGTAAGAGTATATTGTTCTCATTTACTTAAATACAATTAAAGAATCACGCAATTCTGCAGTAATTTCTGTGAGTGTACGCATTATTTTAAAAATCAAATTTAATTTTAAACTAAATTCAAGTCGTTGAAATAGCACTTATTGTCGTACAACAATAAAGTTCTCATGTCAATTAGATATGAAAAAAAAATATGATAAAAAATATAAAATATAAACTTACGTCTTTAGAACTCTTAGGCGTTGACCGACTGGACGAGGAGCCCGATCTGGACGGAGGTCGTGGTCCATTCTCTGTCCTCTCCCCGCCCTCTGTACGTACACTGGGCGACCCTCTCTCTTCCTGCAATTATTAAACATTATATACAAAAGTATGTACAATCTTATTGCAGAGTTAAAGGATACCTACATATTATTCAACAAATTCTACCTTCTTCTTTTTAAAGTTAAATTCAAATTAACATAGAAATTAATATATGTTTATCAATTTACTTGATAAAACGTAAAACAAAGTGGAAACCGCAAAATTATGACTTATGATAGTCTACGTAGGGACCATCAACATATGAAAACAGTCTTGAGCCGAGCGGTATTGGTTCGATTTCGCAGACATGTCTATGTCCTGTTGCTGTTTTTACTGTACCCTCTCTCTCTATTTCAAGGTGCCACTCCATGGATGTTGGCCGTCAGCACAATGAACTTTAGCTGGTCTTGTTGCACTCTATTTCAATGTAAATTGTTATGTTTTGTTATTAGTTCTCTTACCTCATTGGCAACATCAACAACTAAATCTTGATCGCTCTTTTCAGCATCGCTGTCCTAGAAGTATAATTTATATGTCAGTTAACATTTCAAATATAAGTTTAGGCAATTGTGTTTTGACAAGCTTTTTCGTGAAGAAGCGTTTATAAGCGTTTACATATTTAAGAATTCAAAAAGTTTTATTTGCAAAGATTCAAATAAGAATGCACAGAAATCAATGCTATGTGAAAGGAAAGAGGATTAAAATGAAGCCTCCAACACACTCATCAGATGTAACGTGGACTTGCTTCCGAATAACGCCTCTTATGTGTGGTCGTGGTATTGCACCGAGCACGCTGACCCATTCGTAAAATAATGTTGTTGCTGCCAACACGTCAAGCTCATTTCACATTCTTATTTGAAATCTACAAGTAAAAGTACAGTCAGCTGCACAAATATGTAAACATTTTCAAAGCTTTTATTTAAAAAGTTTCAGAAATATGTATTCACATATCCGTTCTTATGCTTCCAACAATGAAAACATGCTTAGATATTTTTTTGGAAGTAAAGGTTTATATAAGCTTCTGAAGTTTTTTCAATGTTTCCATATTTATGCAGCTGAGTGTACACAGTACATGCGAGGTAGGCGAGACAGTAGCGGGATGCGTGGCGGCGGAGTGGCGGTGGAGTGGCGGGTACAGTAAGCGACACATACACTGCACAGACTCACATGGGCGAGTACCTTCTCGTCTTTACGTCGCTTCGCCTCCAGAGGTTCGGGCTCAGAGGAGCGCGCGCGATACTTTTGTTCACGTTCCACTGGCGATACTGAACGACGCTGTACCAAATGTTATAATTTTAAGAATCTCCAAATTGATTTTACTTTTTCACAAAAAAAATTAGTTAATTGTTACGGTTTTATCAAATTGAACTTCATAATTAAAACCATAACATATTTGTTGAACATTTTTCCAATGCTACTTACTTGTTGCATTACCCTAGAGGAGACCATTCTGTCGTCTTCCCGGGGCGGAGGCTGACCCGGCAATAGAGGTGGCGGGGCAGGACCCCCCGGATGGAGGGGCGGCTTTATGTCTGCGGGGGGAGGGAGCTCCACCTGGGAACATATTTTAGGTAAAGTTTAATGACTAATCGTGTAAAATACTCGATTGTAATGACGTCACAGCTTTTAGTAAGAAGACAGTTTATATAATGTTTAATACGAAAACATGTTGATTGCGATTAAATGTGGAAACAGACTGTCAAAAAGGTCCTTTATGAAGCATTCCTCGCATTCTTTCGCCTCGTTACATGTGTTTAAATTATGTTCCGAGCTGTTAAAATATAAAAAAAAATATAACAATGATGTCAGTATGCGTACTTTGTGTGCAGGGGGCGGGAGATGCGGCGGCGGGGGGTGCGGCCCCGCCCCCGGCGCGAACAGCAGCCCCCCGGCGCCCAGCAGCGCACCCGCGCCCCCCACGCCGTGCGGCAACCCGGCTGATGCGTGAATCTGTTGCTGCATACAAAAGAAACCTCACATTAGTAAAAAGTTCATGAAATACAAACAGACTGAAAACTATGATTAATTAAATCTAATAAACAAACCAAATTTATTACAGAAAATGGTTATTACACTGTTTTATATTTTCATTAAAAACTTTGTTAAATATTTTGTAAATAACAATTATTTAAGACCCACTTATAAGTTTTAGGTCTTAATTTTTAAACACAGTGGAAATATGCGTGGATTTTCTGCATGTGACATAACGTTCTGCCTGAGACAAAATCATCTATCGCTTAGCAGATTTCGTTTCTTTTTAGTAAGACGTATACAAAATTGGTATATATATAATTAAACTATTAAATAATAATCCTAATTTAAAAAAAAAAAAAAAAACAAATAATGCATGCTTGTGCAGTGCGCTAGAGCGATGTTAACAAACAGTGATAAAACAAATGTGAAGTTAATTACTGATTAATTAGTCACACTTTACTGCTAAAGTAATCTAATAAATTCAATATGTTTTTATAGCCTGTGCATTTTTGTAATATGTATATAGCTTCGATATGTTATGTTAAACATAAAACAAGTTTACATAATTCAATTGGATCAAACGTTTAACACATCCAATGCTATCATTTCTCCTGGCAAATTCACTTTAGTAAATTAGTAGTATCACAAAACTATAGTTGCATGGGACGTGTTAATTTATACTTATAATAAACTAGCTGTCAACCGCAACCCCGTCTGCGCGGTATTAAAACAAAATAGTCTACGTGTTCTTCTAGACTATGTTCTACTTATATGCCAAATTTAAGCGACATCCATACAGCCTTTCTCGAGATACTTTCAAACAAAAATCCATCCATGTAAACAATCGCATTTATTATATTAGTATCATTATTGCAACGTGTTGCTAGCGTCAGTTTTCAATCCGATTACAGACACCTTTAATCATATTTACTATTGGATCCCATAAAGATAATACTTAACACTTTCAATGCCACTACGATTTTCACGTACTACAGCGAACTAACCAAACAAGTTGGCGCTGAATGTGTTGACATAATTAGCAGTTTTTAATCCGTATACCGTTTTGTATTACGAACAAACATACAATCTTATTAATATTATAAATTCGAATGTTTAGATGGATGGATTTTTGTTTGAAGGTATGTATGAAGGTAATTTGGCATAGATGTAGAACATAGTATGGAAGAACAAAAAGGCTACTAATAGGGTTTTTTTTTCTAAATTACACGCAGACGGAGTCGCGGGCGACACCTAGTAACATTATAAAGTAAACATCGAATTGAATCATTTGAAATTTTTAAACAAGGTGTAGATATTATTAATTCAGCTGGCGATTCTATCGATTGTTGTGTGAAAACTGTCAGGTGTATCACGAAATGCTCATTATGGTAGTCAAATTACAATAAAGCAACAATACACGATACGGTATTTGCACAGCTTGCTGTAAAAACCGATTAAAAGTAACGCGTCTGCAATTACGCGTCTATAGGTAGCGGTAACTTCGCTATTTCGGCGAATTCAGGTGGCTTATAGTAAAAAACATCTGTGGATCTCTACTTCCAAAAAACTTTTATAAAAAAATATGTTAACTGGCAACGCATGGGCATGTTCCTTTACTGTTTCGGATGTCAATTAGCGAACATGTTTTTTTTAATGTTTGTCTATCTAAAAACCCGTGTTTGTTTCATCTAATCTCCCAAACCAATAGTCTGATTTTATCGGGACTTTGAAGGGAAGGTAGCTGATGTGCTCGGACATGTTATAGGCTACTTGTTTTAGCCGACTTCAAAAAGAAGGAGGTTGTCAATTCGTCTGTATTTTTTTTATTCAGCTCTAACATAGTCATTGGTAACCGCTTATTATAAAAATGCACAGGCGTCAAGATCTCTAAACATTTATAGACACATTCCAAAGTCATTTAACATTTAGAGATCCCTAATCATAGTACCTTAAGCTAACATAAAATTAACATAAATAAAATAAAAAAAAAAGTTAATCACAACAATTAAAAACAACAAGCTCTATTAATTTTAACTTACAAGAAGTTGCTGTAGGCCCTGTTGTTGTTGTTGCTGTGAACAACAATGAACAAGATAACGCCAAATTATATGTAATACATTTTATCTCCAATTATTGGCACGGATATTGTTTACTGAATTACTGCGCATTAAATCTTATATTTATACATATGGCAGTAAATTATTCATGTATATAACATCCCAAACTACTGTGAATCCTTGCATTTAGTTAACTACTATGCTTTTTTAAATGTAGACTAAATATTTTATTTAAATAAAAGGTTAACAATCTTTTTAAACTTAAATAATGTAATAAATAAAATAGCTGTTGTCTTAGAATCGTATTTCCTTTAATTAGTGATAAATTTTATCAAATTTATATAATTTAATTACACATAAATTCTACTTATTTATTTATATCTAAGTTTGAATGGCCATATATTTTTCCTGTACATTATTATTAAAAACAAAAAGTTAATGCACCAGATGCCAATAATTGGAGTATTACGAGAAAGATTTGACTGAAAAGTAGAGTAAATATGACTTTTTTATAACAAAACCAAGGCCATGGAAGTTTTAAACCCAGTTAACGTTACTTTATCAACTTACCCCGATAATAGCATTAAGTTCAGACATAGTGACCTGCTTAGCTCGCTCCACCGCTGATGCTACTTGCTGCTGGTGCTCCTGCGCGAGGAACGGCAGCACTTGTCCTATGATAGCGCTTAGTCTTTTGGCTATCTCCGTCTAAAAATTACAATCCATTAGAATTTATTCTTTAAATTGATATTATAACTTTAGAATTCAATTGTTATGACACTTGCTTTAACATAGTTTTTTTTTTTAAGACAACGTAGAAGGTAATCTTTCTTTCACTTTACCTGTTTATGCATTTCCACATTCAGTCCGTAAGACATTTCATAGTACTGAAAATAAGAAAGAAAGTTATCATTTTTTTTTGCAACTCAAATGGTATTTGTAAAGTGGAGGTGAAATAAAGTCTACCATAACATAATGCCTTTGCATTTCCGTTTTCTCGTTGGCCAGTTTCTCACATTCTAATTTCAAGCTGGAAAGAATTAAACAGTTAGTTTTGTTACTGTGTTGATATGATAATAAATAAAAAACTGTTAATTTTACTCACGAATGATATTGAGCTTGTAAAAAGTTAAATTCTTCTTTTATACGTTCTAACGTATCTGCAATAGTAAACTTTATAGGTCCTGCCGCGGGTTGTGGCCCCTAGTAAATAAAAAAACCAACACAATAAAATTGTCTTCATAAAAGTACAGAATAAAAAGCTATTTTGATTTATAATAAATAATGATTTATTATTAATCATCAAGAAAAGCTTGGGAAATATAAAAAATAACACAAACCCTTACCGCGGCAGACGGATGCCGCGTCGGCGTCGGATACATATTGACACTAAACTTACGAAATATTTAATAATTAAAGAATCAAATAAAGTTCTTTATATATCTGTGTTGGTTATGTATTGCAAACACCATTTCCAACTTATAAACCACTGCTATAAACTACTGTGTACTAGGAAACCACTGTTAGGCGCTAAGGACAATGATATGCACAAACTTTGCTTCAAAACTTTTGAAATATCAGTCATTATTTTGACATATATAACTTTTTGATGATATTTATGAAAACTGCTTTAAACGTACGAAATACGTTACAAATACTTAATACTACTTTCCCGAGTAACAGTTACTGTTTAGCCAAATTTAACCATAAATCCACGCCGCAATTTTTGTTCGGCTGTCATGTCATCTATCCATCTTCGCCTTCCTTCACTTCACTCATTCATCAAAAAGTAAAAGGCTCACATAGACATACTCCAAACTTTTGTAACATTTTTTATCGTGGTAAAAATTTTGAAATATACAATAAAATTGTAATTATAGCCCAAAAAATGTTTTTATTTCTTCTTGGTTTACCTTTTATTTGAAATAGCAATTTTGGCACATTGTTTTTGACAAACCCTATATTTACTCCTTGGCAACCAAAAAGTATAAACGTCTGACGTCTATGAATGCATACTCTTTGGTGTTTTAAGCAGTTATTTTTGTGATTGGTTGGCTTCCAACATTTTGATGGCAGATTGTGATTGTCGTTGACGCGCAGCTGTTCCGTAAAAAAAGTGCAGTGTCGGAGTGTTTTGAAATAAAATAGTTGGTTACTTTGTTATTCATATTGTGAAACAGTGCTTTTTCAATGATTATTTTTAGAAGAAAGTGCTGTTGTTAAAGTGCTATTTCGACAATTGTGATTATTGTTTTCCTAAGAGACCCATTATGGATTTCAAAACAGCCGTTTTCAACGCTGCACGGGATGGTAGTTTAACACGATTGAGGGTAAGTAATAATTAGGAATGTATGTTTATTTTCTCATTTTACGCTCATTTCTGTAATGTATATACTTACGACGATGATTAAATAATTTTTCTAATAATTTACGAAAAGTCGTTGGTCATCAATATGAAATTTAATTATAAATCTACCTCTTAAATCAATTTTGTTCTAGAAATAATCCAAAAAAATTACAAAAGGTTTGTTATTATATATTGAATTTACCACAAAGCGATTTTCACAATCACGTTTGTCGTAATTATCAAGCGGTGATATTCGCAAACATTTCAACGATATCATTTAGCAACGACGAAAGAATTTTTATTATAACGTTTTATTTAAATGTCAGGCAAGTATTTCATCAGTCTATACATTAAATTTCCTCAATAAAATTTGTTATCAAAAATAATACTGAAGTAACCTTTGCAATAATCATTACAATACTTAAAAATCGAGAGATTTTATCTAAATCGATATGTTCTTAGGTAAAATCGAGTATTTCTAAAAACATATTTTTTTGTATAGATTTGTGCATTTGTTTAGTAAGTGCCCATTCACTCTTTACTTAATATTATAAAAAAAAGATGATTGCTTGTTTGCATTGAATACACTCTAAACTACTGAACTGAATTGTAAATTTCTTTCACTTTTGGGATACTACACTATCCACGGCTGACATAGGATATATTTATTACAAGAATATTTAATTTCCGCTGAAGTTTCTTATTTTGAATAATTTAACTAAGATGTGTTTCTACTAGAATATTAATGTTTTTATGGTTATGTTGTATTCTAACATAAATAGGGTTCATCCAATCACATATAAAATGCAGTAATAAAATTGACTTTATAACATTCAATAGGTTAAATAAACAGGTATTTCTTACGTTTACCAATTGACAATTTTTAATATGCCTTGTACAATTACTCAATTGATAATATACTTTAATTTTCTACATTACTTAACTTTCTCATATAATTATAAACATCAGTAATAGATATAAAGTTATATTTGGTTACTATTGCGGTCGAAATATTCAAAAAGTATGATATAATAATCTGTGTATGCTTAAATTTTATAGTAGATTTAAAGAGTTTAAACACTGTATTGAAAACATTGATGCTACTATGAAATAGTTTCAAATTGGAATTCTCTACCAGCATCATAATCCATTTATTCAATTATGTATTTAGTTATGTCAACTGAACTTATATGAATTTACATGACTATGATGTAACTGTTTTGTTTCTTTTTATATATTAGCTTAATATATTGTTGTTTTTAATAAGGATTGATATTTCTGGGATCTTTATTCTCTAATTGTAAATCAACTATTATCAAGAACCTGGGTTTCCATTCCATCGCCAAATATTCATACAAAAACTTATTATATTTTATTTTTTTCACATAGAAAAATTTTGTGTAATTTAAAGAGTATGTATTCACCTTCTCAAACATTCCTTTAGTATTGCAGATGTAAATACATATTGCAGGTATTGTTTAACAACTTGGTGTTCTCCTTGTTTTCCTATTCCTTTATGTTAATAAAAATTGGCACAAGGAATGTAGGATTAGTATTTCAGTATCGGTAATGGAATACATACTAGTTATTGCATTAAAATTATAGTTTACTCAGACAAATCAAATCTGAAGCTAGAGATTGCGGAATAAAATTTGGTAAGGCCTGCTTATGGTTTCCAAGTTTGGGTTGATTGTGATAGCATAATTTTTAAGATGTTACCGTATTCATGAAATTTTTCATATGTTTTATTTTTACAAATTTAACGAATGTTTATATTTCTTCCGATTAGTTTAATTTGATCTACACTGTCCACCCATAATTAAGAAATTGAATTGATTTGCGTGTTGCAAATTTTACACGTATTTTCTCTTATTAAAGTTTGCGTGTATAATGTCGTTTATCGGTTATTTACTTCTAATCAGATGTACAGTCACAATAAATCAACTGTACTCTGCAGGGAAAGTAGGTAAGAGCATCGACCCCATTCAGTTGTTTACTGATGACTGTACACGCGTGGGCGTGGGCATCTCATGAGTGAAACCAATCCCAAACAGGATCTCTTGATTACAACATGTTCTATTGATTTATGAATTGCTTTGATGATTTCTTCTATAAACATGCGTTACTTATGTTTGCCAGCCAGTATAAATTGAGCTATTATCTTGCTTTGAATATAGCTTACACTAAGTGCCAATTAATTGGATAAATTTTTAATTTATGATTATAAATATAAATTGTAATATTGTATTATAATCAATAACTCATCTAACATAGACAAGTTAACGGATTTCAAAACCAGTTTAATTTGATCTCCCTCGTTTGTTTTGGCTTCATAATTACAGGTCTTTCTCTGACAGGTCAGGGAATCTGGTGGCCCCATTTAGATGGCTTAAATTTAGTAACACAGTCCGCGGAGTGGCTTACTCATTCCAGATGTGCAAGTGTTGATTCCTATACTAACTTGTAAAATAACAGATTCAAATTATGTTAAAGCTATAATTTGGTTTGACAATGTCGAAAGGACTAAGTTATAATATTTATATGCCTTTGTGTGTATTAATACATAAAAAATGTGTATGGGTGGTTCCAAATTAAGTATATTTTATATATACAAAATATTTTTATAAGATTTTAATATGAAGTCAATTGATTTCATCCTCCAGTAATGTTGTTTAGTTATGTATAAAAATGTGTGCATTATATTTAACCACTTACGATAAGTGCTATAATTGTTGCAATGGAAACTTTCATTTGTTTCATCATTTTGTTAATTTGTTATCATATTCAGTATTACGGTGATCACAACCAATTAATTTCAGAATGGACATGTTTTACCAGAAATAAATTATTGTGGGATTCCACTGGTATTACATAAGTATATTTAAAGTATTTGAAGGTCATAAAATAACTTTTTTTTTCGTGTAAATTAGATAATGTACAATTTCGTTCACTATTTTTAAAACAGAGTTTTATGTGTCGTAATTTGTTGCAAATTTTTATGTCGAGTGTTTGTGAAGGAACCTTTGTTAATCATATGCATTTCGAAGGAAGTTGTATTTAGAACATGCGCCTCATTACCTTTCCTCTATTTCGTTTTGTCGCGCGGCTCTTTGTCCGTATGTGAGTCAGTACGCTTTTCTGCATTAGCTAGGGTAACCATGATTGCTCGTAAATCGAATAATATTTTTTTTTGATATTAAAACAATTAATCAGATAACATTCTATATTGAATACCCCAATTTTCATTAAAACTTTTCTTAATAAACTACGACTTTGGAAAATGATTCGAACAAAATAAAAATAATAATTAAGGATATATTGATTGGTCACAAAGTATATCTGTAGATGTACATAGAGAAAGTTTTTGTTACATAATAATTTTATTAAATCTCAAATTAAAAGAATGTTACAGTCCGAATAACGTCTATAGCTTGGTAACCCCAGTACATGGAACAAGGAAGAATTGTTTTTGTTTAGGCCTCGATGTGTTTCCTCTTAAGGTCTTTGTGACCTGATTCTGTTTTTATTTCATCTTGAAACGTTGCCAAAAGCAGGACAAAAGGCAATATCAAACAACAATATCTTTGTTATGATCAAATATCGCGCTCGATTCCTTTATCGACTGTTTTTTGTTTGTATTCTGGGATAAAGGAAATTACGCGACAAAAATTTTACAGGCTACCATTTATATGAGATTTTGTTAAACTTACAACGTAAAGAAATCTTGAATTAAAAATTCTATTGTGACAAAAAAAATTGTAAAATGGAAAACACTGTTTTTATGCGTTTTTTGCTTAGGTTGTAAAATTGATAGCACAGATCTCTTTTTAATTCATCTTAAATATGTATTAGTCATATTTCGTTTCTTGCGAAATAACGGTCGGTTTTCCGATATCGTGAATAAAAAGTAAAGAAAAGAGATTTATTTTAATCGACTTGAGTCATGATTAGTTCCGGCTACTCAATATGATATGCAAAACTCTAAAAGTATGCTCTACCTTTCCTGCCTACTAAAGCTATGTCTACACCAATGATCCATATGGATATTTCCTCTAAAATATGGGTGTGGATTGCAACTGCTGAATACCTTGCGGAATGCTTTATACTCACAATTTTACAATCGTAAATTTAAAAATATGTGACATAATATGTTTAATTTAACTAAACGTTTGTTTAAAGGTAAACGCCCTATGAATTGGCATCAAGCCAAAAATTCACGCCATTTTCTTACCTATTCTCTATTTCTACTCAGAATAGATTATTTGCACACTCTAATCTTGGGGTATCGTTACTCATGACATAAACTGAAAAACATTTTGTTTTAATAACATATCTAAAGGTCTAGTTAACTACCTAAGCGTAACATTAGCCTGACCTTAACTGTCGCGTAAACAATCATAAGTATTCATGTAACGTTATCAGTACAAAATTAGTTTTGGAGTAAGATTATTTTGAATGTTCCCAATTGATATTAAAGTTACAATTTAAATTATAGTGTGTGAAAAGTAGAGATTTACATATTCAAAACATTAAAGGTACGTGTCCATTGGCCAGCGCCGATCGCATCGCACGCAGCCTGCAACGGATTCTAGTTTGCTTTGTAAAATTTTAAACAATTCCGTTTAATCCTTGCGTGTGGTCCGTCCGGCGCGGGTCTATAGAAGCATACCTGTACTCCATCTTCGTAGTGTCTCTTTTATTTCTATAGAAGGTTGATTATTATGGTTGGGTTACCATATCTTTCTCTAACTTTGGTGAATAGGAACAATTGGACGACACTCAAAATTTGTTGTCTCTGTGTTTTCAAAGAGGGTAAAAGGGCTGGCGACCGTATAATGTTTAATATTTTTTATAGGAAATATATGGCCAAAGTGACCATTGCAATTGGGTAGATCAATAACAATTCAATGTGTAATGCACGAACAAAAACGTCTCTATAATACTCCAGTGCTGCGATGGTTATTTTATTACACAGTATTTTCC